CAACTAAACAAACTGCAAAATCTTTACTAAAAGATTGTCTTGACAAAGCTTCAATAATCTCAACAGCAAGTTGAATATATCAACATCTACAGTTCAACTTGAGGTGGAGCGTAGAAAACCGTGAATGGAAAGAAACTATGAAAGGAAATTGCAATTAATTATTGATAGTGAATTAATAGGTTGATTTATTTCCTTACTTAGGTGATTATTTTTTTCTTTTTCTTGTTCGACTTGTAAAGTATAAGTAGGAGGTATTGGGGATGTAATTTGAATTTCAAATCAAGATTATTGGTTTTGATTTCAGTTTTGCACATTTAGGAAAGAGAAAAGAAATATGAGAGGTACTGTAGTTGTTGTTATGAGAGGTACTGTAGTTGTTGTTAAGATTGTTAAAACAATGAAAAAACAAAAATGGAAAAGAGAGAAGGGTTTGAGTCTTTTTCTTGGGAGAAGAGAAGGTGGAGAGTGGAGGGAGCATTTCAGCTAGTTTTCAATTTGCGGAAAGTGTTATTGTTTAATGTTGGGATTACCATAATTCGACCTTACCCTAATAAACTTAACACAACCACATCTCATACCTATAAGTTAAAGAATTTATTTTCATCTATTTTGGATGCTTATGCATTCATTGCATCAAGACTCTTGTGGTCTTTTTAATAGTTCTTCTAGTATTTCCATTTGGATGTGCTGGATATAATAATGAAAATTTAGGCCCTGTTTAATCCACATTCTTTCAAAAAAATACATTTTTATACAATAATTTGATATAATTTCAACTACACTTTCTATAATAAAATAATATTACACGTAGATCCAAATTTTTTCTTATTTTTTAAATACACATTTCCCATCAATATACTATTCAAAAATGCATTCTTGTGAAAAATAATGTGGCTCAAACAAGAGCTTATTCTTTGTATTAAGAAGTGCTTGGGTATATTATCTAGATGTTTACAAGCATGCATTTCTATATTTACAAGTGGTGATTCTTTTTCTTGTCTATAACTGATAAGTGTATAAAAATACACTTATTCAAGGTTTTAAAATGATGATATTTAGTTGCTTTTCGGATGAATTATTGTTTAAATTGTTGTATTTGGTGTTGAATATGTAAATTCAATGATGCTACAAGAAATTGGAAGAAGCAAAAGTTTGCAAAATTAGAGAAAATGGCTAAGATGCAAGAGATCCAAAGTTTACAAATACTCAAAAGTCGTGTCGAACCTCATGATGAAGATTCAAGTGTGCACAAAGTCAATTGGATAAAGAAAAACGTCAAAGGGGTGAAACATAATCAAAGTATGATCACAAATCAATTTTCAACCGAAAAAGCCATGCATCATTTTCAGCCTCATATTGAGACCCATTTTTGACATAATAAATGATCAAATTTGAAAATAATGTCTGAAACGAAGTTGTAGCCCTTTGAGTTAGCTTTTCTAACGCATCTTGAATCACCTCAATTGGATATTAGAAGAAAAAGTTGTGTTTAAAAATACTTAAAGAAGCGCATAGAATTTTCACCCAAAAGTTGGTGCCTGGCGCCGCCTGGGTACATCTAGGGCACTTTTTGCCTGTTTTGAAGTCTATAAAAATCCTACTTTCTACAAACACGGAGGAGGCACATATAAATACAAAATTCTCACACTTTTGATAAAGAAGAACACATTGAGAGGCAAGAGAATACAATTGGAGAATCAAAGGAAGAACTCAAGGGTGAAAACATTGAGAAATTTACCCTGTAGAGCATCGATTAGAAGATAAAGAAATTCTTGTTGCAAGATCTACTTTTCTTCTACACTTTAATACAAAATCTGGATATGTATTCCATGACAATCTATGATTTTTCATTTTTCATTATGAATAGCTAAATCTATTGTTATGGCGAATAATGTAATCCAATTGGGATCATTTATTTTTTTTTGTTAAGATTCTTGATTTTTAAATTTTTCATGTGTTGATTTTACAATGGATTAAATGCATTAAATTACTTGATCACTAATTTGATGATTTTTGTGAATCCTTTACGAATAGAGATACAAGTTTAGTATTTAAATCATGTAGCAAAATTCGATAAATTGGTATAATGAGTAGATATACATATACTAATTATTGCGTTCATAATTGAATTCTAGGACAAAAAACTCATTTAACTAAGTTGAATTTGCATCGATATATGGAATTTAATTAGTTAAATAGGTTCAATGTAAATTCGAGAGGGATAAATTGAATATAATAGGAGAAATCGATCGAACCCTACATTGGATGTGAATCTTAATTTAAGATGTAAAGGTGACCAATAGGTGAAATTATTTTTCCCTAACGTCCATTTATGATTTGTTTTTCAAACCAATCATGCTTGCATCCCTTTATTTTCTCGTATTTAGATTTAAAACTCAATTCTTACAAGTTTTTATCTCATCAAATAGTGGTTAAAAAAAATTGAATTAAGTGCTAGAATATAGTCATCGTGGAATCGACAATTTGAAATCTTAGGTCCACTTACTACTTGTCACAGTTCATTCATTTGCGAAAATAAAATTGACCACTTACTACTTGTTACGGTTCGTTCACTTGCGAAAATAAAATTGACAACAATAACTCTTGTTCTCATTTATATAAGTGATTATTAATTAATTGAAGAGTTTGATATAATTGGAAAATTTATGATTTCTTTAAGCCTTGAGTAGGAAAATAATTCATGCAACAGGCCCTTTTTCAAAGTCTTGGCTTCTCATTTTTGTTGAATTTTAACTCATTTAAAGTATATATGGTAACAATTATTTTGCAGTTAATGGATAGTGTGAAGTTTTGAAGGTTTAATTTGTACATGCCAACTTTTGTAGTTTAATTTATGAAACCTGGCTCAAATTAATGAGTTATGCTGAGAAAGGTCCACATTTTTATGCCACTTTGGCATTTCCCCCTTCCAAAATGCTCTATATATAATTTGTTTAGATATATTTTTTGTACTTAGTAAACAAGTTGCAACAGAAATTTCTTCGCTTGATTGTAGTACAAATACAATTTAGTCCTTTGTTTGGATCAAGATTCTGGTTTCTCTTGTTTTATTGGCGGTCCACGAACAATACAGAACTTGAAGAAACAATTTCATCTTTATTTGACAGAAGAGTTTGTAACAAATTATAGTAGAATAAAAAATTTAAAGAAGTAGGAAAAGCAGCAGAGAAACAGAGGAGATGGAAATGATAGATACTATTCTAAGGCTATAAATGGATCGGATATGGAGCGAATTTGTCCAAATCTGATTCAATCCGTTAAGAAAAATTATCCTATCCTATCCGATCCGATAATTCAATGGATATTTGATTGTTAAATCCATATTCGATTTGTTATGTTATCGGATATCTGACCTGATAATTCGATCCAATTTTGAAAAAAAAAAAAAAATTCCCACCATTTTTTCAGGTAATATGATTTTTTCCACAAAAAATACTTTAACTATCTCGATGGGCTTACCTATTATATTAGAAGGCCAAATCAAAAATTTTTTTTTTATCAAAGAGATGCTCCTTTAATTCTTTTTTAAAAAAAAAACTCCTCTTGGAATGTTTTAGTAATCTTCCAATGTGGGATACTAATTTTTTAAAAGTTACTCTTCTTCCAATATTTTAGTAATCTTTCAATGTGCAATATTAGTCAATTATCAATTCTAAGTGTTACTAGTTTATTTTATTATTTTCATTAAAAATCATAATCTCAAGAAAATTATAATCACAAATAATATCAATTTAAACAATGTAAATTATTTTTGGACATATTAATTATTAGTTTTTTATGTTATAAAACAAATTACTATGGTTATTTTTATTTTATTTTAATTAATAAAAAATTAAATCTCTTCAAATATTTCAATTAAAAATATAATACAATTATCTAATATTATTTATTATTTGAAAAATATGTGTAAAGCATAATATAAGTTTCAAAATGGAAAAAAAAATATGTTTACTAGATTATGATATAATATATAAAATATATTATTTTATTATAAATCGAATCGGATTGTTATCAATCAAATAGACTTATATCCATATTTGTTCCATTTAGTTTTCGGATCTTAATCGAATTATCGGATTGAGACTCTAAATTCATCTCCCATTAATTTCATCGAATTCGGATCGAAATACAATCCATTGATAGCCCTATTCTATTATTTAATCTTTGTTTTATTTCTTGATGAGAATTAGAACCAAAAAAAAAAAAAAAATGAAAAGTGAAGTGTTGCAGTGATGTATTGGCAGCTTACAAGTGCAATTTATAGTGAGAAATTCTCCTAAAGTTTTTGAACTAATCAAACTGAAAAACCAATGTGTTCCTAAAGTTATTCACCAAACAAAAGGCCAATTCCACTAACTGACTCCTAACTTGTTAAAAAAAAAAAAAAAAAAAAAAACAATCGACTCATCCAACATTACATATGGTTGCAATAAGTTGCACTAAATTTGTAACACTTTTCCTTAGTGCAAATTTACTCTCAACAACACCAAGAGCTCCACGAAATACTTCGAATTTAGCTTAGGCAAGTGCTTTAGTAAATATGTCATCCACTTGGTCTTCAGTTTGTATCTTCTGCAGCTTAATGTCTTGAGTTAAAACCTTCTCTCGAACAAAATGATAATGTGTTTCAATTAGTTTTGTACGAGCAAGAAATACCGAATTTCCAGTGAGCTTAATTGCATCTTCTAATAATTTCCCTTCAATTTTAGCTAACTTCAAACGAGGTTCCATAGGACTGGTCATCGCCTTTGACTCCTCCATATGAAAACAACTTAATAAACTTGGTGCATATGCCTTTTGAGAGACGAAATATCCATCTAACTTTTTAACCTTAAAGCCAAGAAAACAGATAGCTTTACCTAAACTCTTATTTCAAAATGAGTAGACAAGGCATCTTGAAGACGGGTTATTTCAGCACTGTTATCTCCAGTAATGATCATATCATCCACATAAAGAAGAAGCATGATGCACATTGCATATGTTTTCTAATAAATAAGCTAGGGTTTGCATTAGAAGACTTAAACCCACAAAAATCAAGATATTGAGCAATGTTACCAAACCAAGCACGTGGAGCTTGCTTGAGGCCATACAAAGCTTTCTTGAGCAGGCATACATGATTAGGAAATTCCTTAGAAATAATTCCTTGTGGTACTCCATAAAGATATCACGATCTAACTCTCCATAGAGGAATGCATTCTTCACGTCTAGTTGCCATAATTTCCAGCCTTTGAAAGCATCCAATGAAATAATTCTTTGAACAGTCACCATTTTAGCATTCGGGCTAAAAGTTTCCTCGTAGTGTGAACCATATTGCCGGGAAAAACCATGAGCAACAAGTTGGGCTTTATACATGTCAATAGTCCCATTGGCCTTTTTCTTCAACTTGTAAATTCATTTACAAGTAACCAAATCAGTGTTCTTCGGCTTTGGAACAAACTCCCAGGTGTTACTCTTTTGTAAAGCTGATATTTCCTCCTGCATTGCCTCTTCCAATTCAGAAATCCCTTTAGCTTCATTGTAGGATTTAGGCTCATTTCCACCTGAATCTCCCATGAAAAAAAAAAGATAAAACAGAAAAATAATTTAACTGAACTTCATAATCGGCTAGATGATCAGGTTGCTTTTTTTGTCTTCGAATTATAGTCTCAATAGCCTCGTATTGCTGAATATTTTATACAGATGGAATTGTATTGCTTCCATTTTCACTTGTTGCAGATCATTAAAGAAAGGCCCAAGATCAACTGTGCTACTGTCCTTGTTATCAACTTGATGCGATGTCACTTCATCAAACACTACATCATGAAAACAATAACATTCTTTGTTTTTGGATCCATACATCTCCATCCTTTCCTATGAGTATCATAACCAACAAAAATACAACACTTGCCCTTGGATCAAGTTTAGTCCAATTATTTTTCAGTATGTGGACATAACAAACTGAACCAAAAGCTCGAAAATAACTTACATTCGGTTTGTAGTGGTATAATGCTTCAAAGGAGATGATTCTGTTCTTGGCCAAGGAGGTAAGCAATTTATGACATGACAGGCAAATTGGATAGTTGTTGCCCACAACTCTCTTGCAAGGTTCTTTTTATGCATCCATGACAAGCATATAGCCGTTAGATGTGCCAACTTGCGCTCAGCAACCCTATCTTGTTGTGAAGTTTCTGGACAACGTCGAATTCCATGTTCCCATGCAATATTCAAGAAATTCATTGGACATGTATTCCCATCCATTATCGGTGTGTAAACACTTTATTGACAGCCTAAATTCCTTCTCTACGTGCTCTTTGAATTGAATAAATTTGGAGAGAGCTTCACTTTTGTTTTCCAAGAAATATACCCAAGTGAAATGAGAAAAGTTATCCACAATAACCATCACATAACGAAATGAGCAAAACTAGGTATTTTTGTTGGTCCCATAAGATTTGAATGAACCAACTGTAGTGCAGTAGAGGCTCTATTCTTTGAATTTAGGAAAGGAAGTTGATATGATTTTCCATATTGGCAACCAGCACACACCATATCAGGATGAAAATCTTTAAATAGAGGAACTCCATCTAGAAGTTTCTTTGTAGAGATTTTCTACAACAATTGATAATCAACATGGCCTAATCGAGCATGCCAAAGTGCCACACTTGCACTTTGGCCTCTCTTTTCAACATATGCATCACTTGCAGACAAAACATATAGTGATTTTTTCCCTTTTTCCAGTAAGTAAAATATCAGCAACAATATGTGTTTACATTTGAAAGAATCTGTACATTATTGGGAACAAAAGAACATACCTCCCAGAATCAACTAATTAAGAGACAGAGGTTCTTCTTTAAACCTGGAACATGATATAAATTTTTTTTAGAGAAATACCATTAGCATTTGAAATATCAGTTCTGAAATTGAGATGCCCTTCTTTAACTACAGGATGTGGTGAATTATCGACGATTACAATCACTCTTTTTCACAATGCGGACGAACATTAGAAAGTAACAAAACATTTCCAGTTGCATGATGAGAGCAGCCAGAATCAATTATCCAATTCATGTTGTAGTCTATGGAAACATTAGCATCAATATCTCTATCAGTCTGGTGCACTTCAGAAGTCATGTTAGCCGATTGATCAATAGCTTCAATGGATAAGCATTGCTGCCATTTATGCTATTCAAATTTACTAGCTTCATGTACAAAACACACTACTGCTTTTGTGAGATCAACATGAAAATTTTGTTTAATATGGCTTGCTTTTCCACATTGACTGCACACCACATTCACCTGACAATCACGCTTTTTGTGTCCCAGCTTTCCACACCTATAACAAGTTTTTTATTTTTCCTTGGATTGTCCCCTCAGTTTTGGACTGCTTGCCATCACCAGAATATTGTTTAGAGGAAAAGTTCTTTTTTCCGTGGTCTTTGGTTAAAGAACATCCTCAACTTGAAAGAAAGACTTGTTGCTATTGTTGGACATTTGTTTTAGTAGTGATTCTTGATTTGAGAGCAGGTTCCCCAACTCAATGACAGTAGGTTTATTTGCCCACCCTTGTATCAAAGAAATAAAGAGCATAAATTCTTTTCGTAATCCACAATGAGATAATGGTGCAAACAAGCATCACTCACAGGTTCTTTCGTATCTAATTTCGATATATCAGAACACAGTCTTAAGTTTCAAAAAATATTCTGAAACTGAAAGGTTACCTGAGTCATCCCAGCAAGTTCATTCTCTAAATACTGCAGCCTCAGCCTTTCAAGCATCTCCCACACTTTCTTTAGTGACTCCTCATCACGAACATGCTCGATATACTCTCTCCTAATTGATGTTCACAAAGCAAATAAAGCTTTGCCACACTTTATCTTCCATTTCCTCCTCAACTCAACATTTTGTGTCATATTTTCTGGAACTACATCATCACCAGAAATAAGTTCCTACAAATCCTACCCTTGTAGATAAGCTTCCATGCATAGCTTCCAATAACTATAATTGTTACCAACAAGTTTGTCTACAAAGACACTGCTTCCACCGTTCATCTTCTCTGAGTAATAAAATCAAACACTTGATAGGCAACCAAGCTCTAATACCATGTAACAAATTATGGTAGAATAAAAAACTAAAGAAGCAGGAAAAATAGCAGAGAAATTGGAAAGAACAGATTCTATTCTTCAATCTGTGTTTTATTTCTTGATGAGATCTAGAACTAGAAAAATAAAAACTGAAGAGCTACAGTAATGAATCAACAGGTTACAAGTGCAATTTATAGTGAGAAATTCTCCTAAAGTTTCTGAACTAATCAAACTGAAAAAGCCAATGTGTTTTAAACTTATTCAACAAACAAGAGACCAATTCCACTAACTGATTCATAACTTATTAAAAAAACAATTGACTTATTCAATGTTACATATGGTTGCAGTAAGTTACACTAATTTATAACTAAGTTTTAATATTTTCTTATGTTGCTTTACTAGTTTATCATTTTTTTATGCTCGTCCTTCATGGATTTGTTGGTGTCTACAGCAATGTGTCCTTGGTGCTTTCTATGATTAGATGCATCCTGGACGCATGGCAAATACGACAATATGATTACTATCAGGGGGCATTAAATGGGATATTATGAGGATGGATTGAACTATTGGTTTGAATTCTCACATTTTCTGAACTCTTATTAGAAAGAATTCACCTGCAATGTAGTTCAAGGATCTCCCAGACGTGTGTGGTTTGAAGATAATAATTTTGTTGCCAGTTACTGTCAGCATGAGGAATCTGTTAACTCAATTAGGCAAATGTTAATAGAGGAGAATCTACCTGGTGAAAACTCGCATTAGGAGGAGATAATTTTTTTTATCGTTTCAAGAAAGATAATCGACTGACTGGAGTGTAATTTCCTTATTGGAGGGAGATGTCATTCTTAACCATTTTTGCTGTATAAAGTGATTTGAAAGTGAAGATGAAGACATACTAGACACCTATTGTTTGAGTTTCTATGGTCATCTATCTATTAAAAAAAAGAAAAAGAAAAGAAAAACAAACTTTATAATCGCGTCTATTTCCTGCGTAGTTCAAAAAGAGAAAGCTCAGGTATCAAGAGAAGGTGGAAGTTTTCCTTTTTCATCTGTCCATCTTCGATCTTTGATTCATTTATATATGTATGTGTTAAATGTTAAAAGAAGATTTGGTTGTATTATGTATAAAGTTACATTAAGCGATGTTCGTTTATACATCATCAAATTTGTTCATCGAATAAAAGTGTGCAAATTGGATAGGTTCGAAAGCAATTGTATTGGCCAAATTTGTTACAAAAAATGCTTCGAAAGAGGAATTGACATTACAAAGTAGTGTTTTAAAAAACTTGTCTAAACAATTTCTAGGTTTGGGGCTCTGACGAAATGGTACTCCTTGGCAATAAGCGCTTAATTGAGCTTTATTAATTTTTTTTTTTTTTTACCTTTTTTAAAAGCCATTTTTGACTTTAATTTCAAGTTTTAAAATGACTTTATATGTACAAAAGTTAAAAAAATGAAAATACATTAGAAAATAAAGTAGGATTTATTTAGTTGAAAGTTGAAACTGCGATAAATAAATTAGCTTTTATATTTTAAAATTTTGAAAATTATATAATTGACTACTTATATGAATTATGAAGTAATATGATATTTTATAAAGTTTGATTTTCATATTTAATTATGATTTACACTTTCTAGAATACTGGTATATAAAGTTTAGAACTGGACATGGTTCGATTCAGTTCGATTCTAACGAGACCGAACTTGACCTGATTTGAAATTTTCGATTATCTAATAAGTGAAACCGTCGGGTTTAAATTTAATTATGGAACCGTTCGGGTTAAATTCCATTAGATTCAATTCGGTTCCTTTGATTCCCAGGTTTTGTACTATAATTAATTTTTTTAATATTTATAAAGGTACATTAATTCTACTAATGACATATTCAATTTTAGCTCTTAAAAAATAAAACAGCCCAATCTTAAATTTTTTTGTGTCTCTCTTTGCTGAGTTCTTCATGTTTTTTATCGTTAAAATCACAAAAAGAGGAAGATGTCAAGCTCACAATAATTAAGAGAGGTGTCGTCGAGTTTCAATTTGATTTCTCCAGAATGGTAGAAACGACATTACGGTAGAATAACAGATTTTGATAAGATTTACGTCAGTTTGATTAAGTTGGGTTTGAGCTAAATTCACTAATTTGCAAATTTATCAAAAAAAAAAGGCATATTTAAAATATTTTTTTAATTTTTTTTTTTTTTTACCTTTTTTAAAAGCCATTTTTGACTTTAATTTCAAGTTTTAAAATGACTTTATATGTACAAAAGTTAAAAAAATGAAAATACATTAGAAAATAAAGTAGGATTTATTTAGTTGAAAGTTGAAACTGCGATAAATAAATTAGCTTTTATATTTTAAAATTTTGAAAATTATATAATTGACTACTTATATGAATTATGAAGTAATATGATATTTTATAAAGTTTGATTTTCATATTTAATTATGATTTACACTTTCTAGAATACTGGTATATAAAGTTTAGAACTGGACATGGTTCGATTCAGTTCGATTCTAACGAGACCGAACTTGACCTGATTTGAAATTTTCGATTATCTAATAAGTGAAACCGTCGGGTTTAAATTTAATTATGGAACCGTTCGGGTTAAATTCCATTAGATTCAATTCGGTTCCTTTGATTCCCAGGTTTTGTACTATAATTAATTTTTTTAATATTTATAAAGGTACATTAATTCTACTAATGACATATTCAATTTTAGCTCTTAAAAAATAAAACAGCCCAATCTTAAATTTTTTTGTGTCTCTCTTTGCTGAGTTCTTCATGTTTTTTATCGTTAAAATCACAAAAAGAGGAAGATGTCAAGCTCACAATAATTAAGAGAGGTGTCGTCGAGTTTCAATTTGATTTCTCCAGAATGGTAGAAACGACATTACGGTAGAATAACAGATTTTGATAAGATTTACGTCAGTTTGATTAAGTTGGGTTTGAGCTAAATTCACTAATTTGCAAATTTATCAAAAAAAAAAGGCATATTTAAAATAAAAAAAAAATAAAAATTCGATTTTTTTTCGATTTTTCAATTTTTGATCTAGAATCGAGAATAGAATCGAACTTGTTGGATCTCGATTCAGATATCTGTTCGGCTATTTAATTTAAGAAGAACAGCTCAATTCGATTCGGATCCGATTTGATTCATTTCGATTCGGTTTAGGTCGATGTCTACTTTGATCTTGGTTTTCCCCTTTCTTTCCATTATTATATGAAAAATACTTTCATCGTGTGCAATAAATTATTTGTACAAAGTTGGATTACAAAGTGCGTTGTTAAAACTCAGGCCATTGATTTGAAATAATTTAAAAATATATTTATAAAATAATTTGTGTAAATGTTATTTTGTCAGTCAAATTTGTAATCCACCTTTGTTAGTGTAGAATAGCTCCATGGTGTGGCGTTAGGTGGCGGCTCGACGACACCCGTGGAAGCATTTCTCCGATTACATATGTGCCACTGCAAGTGCATTTATCCTATCTAAAATTCCTCAGATTCTTCTCCCTCTTTGTTTCCCAACAAAATATACCCAGAGAAATCCCCCAAGTTTTTCAGTTACAATTAAACAATCAGTTATCAGATTACAATATATCAAATGTAATCTGATTTCATAAAATGTACAACTCCATGCGAATTAAGTCCCACCACCAACACCAGCAGCAGCGCCGCCGTGAACCTCCGGTGCACAGCCGCCGGTCATGGTGTTGCTCCTTCACCACTCCACCATTTACTACGGACAACCCTGACACCGTTACCCTCTCCCGTTCTCAGTCTCTTCGATCATACTCGTCTTCGTGTAAGAAGACGGAGATACCATTATCCAACAAGTCCACTCCCAGCTCCCCTCAGGCCCAGAAGTTGCCCCTTGCCCGCCGTATCCTCTCTCCGGGTCGGGTCTCTCCCATATCGGACAAACCGCATTTAGAAACCCCCCTGAAAAAGACCCAAGCAACTCCTAATTCTCCCAAACTGCCCCTACCCAGTGGTTCACGCAGTCCTGTAAAAATTGACTCAAAAGATGATGGGCATTCAAGGATTTTCGATGTGAGGTTGAATCTGAAGGGGAAGAATGGGGGATCCTTGATTCTGGAGCTCAGCTCGGAAGTTCTGATTGAGAATAGCGTGGTTTTTGGGGATTTGATTACTGAATGTGGAAAGAATCTGAGCGGACTATGTAGGATTGAGGTAGCTGATGTGGAAAACTTGAATGTTTTTCGTAAAACAATTGAGTTCATGTTTGATGAGGATATTGAAAAGAAGCTCCTCAAGATTGGGGTTTTTGGCGCTATTGGTATACTTGAGGTATCTGTCTTTCTTCTTGGAAATAAAATAATCCCTATTTTCTTGGATTGGATGGAATATAGCATCTACATTCTTTTAAAATGCAGATAATATATATTACGGAATCTTTTAAGTTCGCAGATATTAATATGTGAGATAAAGAAGTATATATTATATTACTGTTAGGATGTTACTTCTATAGAAATTCATTCAACAAAGAAAAGGGAAAATGAGTTGTGTGAATGTATATAAATTTACATTCTTGAATTTGAGGATAAACTTAGTTTGCTTAAATTTATGAATGGGGTTGGGGTGGGGGAATGAATGATATTTGGGGTAGCAAATCTTGTATCAAGGATATAATGCGGATGGCCTACTTTTAGTGGTGGACGCAGACATTTGAAATTAGTGGGGACACGATATTGTTGTCTTGTTTTGCCGTTTGAGGTGGTTAAATCACTGACGGAGGGAGTCAGGGTGGATCAAATTGCTGGATTTTGCTTCAAAGTTTGGAATTGGGAGCTGCGAGCCAGGAGTTGGGATTAAATTGGGAGTGGAACGGTTTCTTGCATTGAATTTTAATTTGGATTAGGCTTCTTTGGATTGGAATTTGGGTTTTTGGAGTTGGGACGGTTTGGGATTCTTTCAATTGGAAACTGGAAGGGTTTTTTCATTACTCCATTTTCGATTTTATTAAAAGAAAAAAAAAATCCTTTTTAATTGGTGGGTCAAGTGACCCACTAGGACCAAATGTAGGTCCGCCAGTGGCTACTTTCCACTGTCAAGACCTTGCGCTTCTTGATCTTGACAGTATTTATTATTTAAATATTTTTCCCCTTCTATTTATTTTTGTGTGTGTGTTTGCAATGTAAATTGCTCTTGTAATAGTGTCATTTATGGGATTAAAAAAAAATTAAGGAGTTGGTTTATATTGCTCTCTGTCCACCTGTGATGTGGCCATGCCAAGTTCTCGACTTTCTGGATGGTGTTAAGGAATGTAGGAGTTATTGGATCTAGTGTACTGTTTCCTTAATGTGTTCTGTATCCTGTAAAAACATAATAACTTCAATTTAAACACCTTTGCATATTCTTTATAGGAAAAAAGAGAAGTATTACCACGAGGCAGCGATCTCCTTCGTTAGTATGGGTAGTACCAAGAGATCCAATCAGCTATAGTTTAAACAAAATTATAAACCTGTGCCTTTCTTTACTTTTTCTATGTATTGTTTGTACACGTGCGCATCCATGTTAAAAAAAGAGTAATAAGTATTATTTTTTGAAATCTTCAAACAATAGATATCTCAGTTTTTTGAAATCTTCAAACAGTAGATATCTCAGTTGTTTCTACAAATTATGCTCTATAGAGTTAATATAAGGAATTCTAACCGCCTCATTTGCTTGTACTATTAGGTATCAGAAGGTATCAAGTTTGGAAGGGGTGTTTCTTCATGTTTGAAATACCTTGCGGCAGTGCCTTGGACCGAGGAAGAAGAGGAGAAGCTGAGAATTTTGTTTTCCAAAATTAAGTTGGATGATGGTACTGGGACAGACATCTTAGCTAGACTCTTTAGACTTGGTTCCGTTGATTCCCAACAAACTTTAGCTAAACAACTTGTTTGGTCGATAACCACCTGTGTTGATGCCAATGCTAGAAGTGAGCTGAAGTCTGGTGTCAAAGGTCTACTTTGCAAAAGCTCAGTCTATGAGCAGGATTTCTCTGATCTGAATAAAGATGACATATTTGCTGTTTGTGAGTCATGTCTGGGTTCACTGGTTAGTCTGTTTGAGGAGGCGGCCTCTGGCACTGATCCATGCGAAAGGCCGACAAAAAGTAAGAAAGATAAGCCTTTGTTAGAGCGCATCTCAAAGCAGGTCGACAACATAAATTGGCTACTCGACATCTTGCTTGATCGCCAAATGGCTGAGGAATTCGTGGATATGTGGGCAGCTCAAGCAAAGCTGCTTAAGATTCATGAAAACGTGTCTCCAATGATTAGGTATGAGCTTAGCCGTGTCTCTGCAATGTTGTTTATTGCGATGGGCACCCGGAAATTGCATTGTCGGTCAGAAGCAAGATTAGGTGTTCTGCGGGTATGGTTTAGACCAATGCTATTAGACTTTGGCTGGTTACAGAGGTGCAGAAAGGGGTTAGACATTAAGGCACTGGAAGAGGCGATGGGTCAAGCACTTCTTACTCTCCCGTTGAGCGAACAGTATACACTATTTATGGATTGGTTTCTGTGTTTCTCCAAGAATGGTACCGAATGCCCCAATCTCAGTAAGGCATTCCAAATCTGGTGGCGCAGATCATTCCTCAGGAACTCCAAAACTTTTTCTATTGAATCTCGGTGAATTGGTGCCACCAATGTTTCTGATGCAGGTTTATCGCTTATTGTTTTGTGTTGATCTGAGGGAAATGTACGGATGTGAATAATGTTGATTGACTCTACAATGTCTAACATTTCTTCCTAGTATTGGTGACCATGACAAGCACAATTTTATCTTTTTATCTTTTATTATTTATTATTTATTTTTGGTGGTCTCTCATCGATTATTGGCATACTTATTAAGCTTCATATGGTTGAGGAAGTTTAAACAAGGAAAAGCCTCTATATCCCTATTAAAGTCCTAAAATTTTAAAAATTACTATTTTCATCCACATCAATATTGTTAAATTTATTTATTTTAACACTATATGCCCACACCATTTTTATATATTTATTCCTTCATAATTCTTTCATCTTTTTTGATATCTATCCACACCATTTTTATAGTTCTATAGATCCCCACTATTTTTATGGTGGGCCACAATTTGCATCCGTTGTATGGTGGGCCACAATTTGCATCCGTTGTTATTATATATCTATCACTCTTTATAAATATATTCTTTTTAAACTTTTAAAATTCTAAAGAAATACTAATTTTATCCTCATCAAATTTCAATATCATTCTTATTAAATTCATTCATTCTAACACTATAATTTCAAACCATTTTTATATATCTATCCCATCATAATTCATTCAATCCTTTCATATATCTATCCACACAATTTTTATATATCTATCCCATTATAACTCCTTCAATATTTTCAATCATTATCATCAATATACTCCATCAAATTTCTTTACTTGTTTTGATAATCCTAGCAGATTAGCCACCATTACTTTGAATTCAAGAAAATCAAGAAAAACAAGATAAAC